CAGAAACCCTACACCTAGGAACCCCAACACTAAACCTACCCCAGAAACCCTACACCTAGGAACCCCAACACTACACCTAACCCCAGAGGAACCCTACACCTAGGAACCCCAACACTACAACCTAACCCCAGAACCCTACACCTAGGAACCCCAACACTACACCTAACCCCCACCTAGGAACCCTACACCTAGGAACCCCAACACTACACCTAACCCCAGAAAACCCCAGGAAAACCTACACCCAGAACCCCAAGGAACAAAACACTAACCCCCAGAAACCCTACACTTAGGAACCCCAACACTACACCTAACCCCAGAAACCCTACACCTAGGAACCCCAACACTACACCTAACCCCAGAAACCCTACACCTAGGAACCCCAACACTACACCTAACCCCAGGAAACCCTACACCTAGGAACCCCAACACTACACTACACCTAACCCAGGAAACCCTACACCTAGGAACCCCAACACTACACCTAACCCCAGGAACCCTACACCTAGGAACCCCAACACTACACTAACCCCAGAAACCCTACACCTAGGAACCCCAACACTACACCTAACCCCAGAAACCCTACACCTAGGAACCCCAACACTACACCTAACCCCAGAAACCCTACACCTAGGAACCCCAACACTACACCTAACCCCAGAAACCCTACACCTAGGAACCCCAACACTACACCTAACCCCAGAAACCCTACACCTAGGAACCCCAACACTAAACCTAACCCCAGGAACCCTACACCTAGGAACCCCAACACTACACCTAACCCCAGGAACAACCTACACCAAGAACCCCAACACTAGGAAAACCTAACCCCAGGAACCCTACACCTAGGAACCCCAACACTACACCTAACCCCAGAAACCCTACACCTAGGAACCCCAACACTACACCTAACCCCAGGAACCCTACACCTAGGAACCCCAACACTAAACCTAACCCCAGAAACCCTACACTTAGGAACCCCAGAAAACACTACACCTAACCCCAGAAACCCTACACCTAGGAACCCCAACACTACACCTAACCCCAGGAACCCTACACCTAGGAACCCCAACACTACACCTAACCCCAGAAACCCTACACCTAGGAACCCCAACACTACACCTAACCCCAGGAACCCTACACCTAGGAACCCCAACACTACACCTAACCCCAGGAACCCTAAACCTAGGAACCCCAACACTACACCTAACCCCAGGAACCCTACACCAAGAACCCCAACACTAAACCTAACCCCAGAAAACCCACCTAGGAACTACCTAAACCTAGGAACCCCAACACTACACCTAACCCCAGAAACCCTACACCTAGGAACCCCAACACTACACCTAACCCCAGAAACCCTACACCTAGGAACCCCAACACTACACCTAACCCCCATAGGAAACCCTACAGGAACCTAGGAACCCCAACACTAAACCTAACCCCAGAAACCCTACACCTAGGAACCCCAACACTAAACCTAACCCCAGAAACCCTACACCTAGGAACCCCAACACTAAACCTAACCCCAGAAACCCTACACCTAGGAACCCCAACACTAAACCTAACCCCAGAAAACCCTACACTTAGGAACCCCAACACTACACCTAACCCCAGAAACCCTACACTTAGGAACCCCAACACTACACCTAACCCCAGAAACCCTACACCTAGGAACCCCAACACTAAACCTAACCCCAGAAACCCTACACCTAGGAACCCCAACACTACACCTAACCCCCAGAAACCCCAACCTACACCTAGGAACACCTAGGAACCCCAACACTAAACCTAACCCCAGAAACCCTACACCTAGGAACCCCAACACTACACCTAACCCCACCCCAAAACCCTACACCCTACACCTAGGAACCCCAACACTACACCTAACCCCAGAAACCCTACACCTAGGAACCCCAACACTAAACCTAACCCCAGGAACCCTACACCTAGGAACCCCAACACTACACCTAACCCCAGAAACCCTACACCTAGGAACCCAACACTACACCTAACCCCAGAAACCCTACACCTAGGAACCCCAACACTACACTAACCTAACCCCTAGGAACCCCAACCTAACCCCAGAAACCCTACCTAGGAACCCCAACACTACACCTAACCCCAGGAACCCTACACCAGGAACCCCAACACTAAACCTAACCCCAGGAACCCTACACCTAGGAACCCCAACACTACACCTAACCCCAGGAACCCTAACCTAGGAACCCCAACACTACACCTAACCCCAGGAACCCTACACCAAGAACCCCAACACTAAACCTAACCCAAGGAACCCTAACACCTAGGAACCCCAACACTACACCTAACCCCAGAAACCCTACACTTAGGAACCCCAACACTACACCTAACCCCAGAAACCCTACACCTAGGAACCCCAACACTACACCTAACCCCAGAAACCCTACACCTAGGAACCCCAACACTAAACCTAACCCCATGAACCCTACACCTAGGACCCCAACACTAAACCTAACCCCAGAAACCCTACACTTAGGAACCCCAACACTACACCTAACCCCAGAAACCCTACACTTAGGAACCCCAACACTACACCTAACCCCAGAAACCCTACACTTAGGAACCCCAACACTACACCTAACCCCAGGAAACCCTACACCTAGGAACCCCAACACTAAACCTAACCCCAGGAACCCTACACCTAGGACCCCCCAACACAAAACCTAACCCCAGAAACCCTACACCTAGGAACCCCAACACTACACCTAACCCCAGAAACCCTACACCTAGGAACCCCAACACTAAACCTAACCCCAGAAACCCTACACCTAGGAACCCCAACACTACACCTAACACCCCCCAGAAACCCTACACCTAGGAACCCCAACACTACACCTAACCCCAGAAACCCTACACCTAGGAACCCCAACACTAAACCTAACCCCAGAAACCCTACACTTAGGAACCCCAACACTACACCTAACCCTACACCTAGAACCCCAAACCCTACAGAAACCCTTAGGAACCCCAACACTACACCTAACCCCAGAAAACCCTACACCTAGGAACCCCAACACTACACCTAACCCCAGGAACCCTACACCTAGGAACCCCAACACTACACCTAACCCCAGAAACCCTACACCTAGGAACCCCAACACTACACCTAACCCCAACCCTACACCTAGGAACCCCAACCTACACCTAGGAACCCCAACACTAAACCTAACCCCAGGAACCCTACACCTAGGAACCCCAACACTAAACCTAACCCCAGAAAACCTACACTTAGGAACCCCAACACTACACCTAACCCCAGAAACCCTACACTTAGGAACCCCAACACTACACCTAACCCCAGAAACCCTACACTTAGGAACCCCAACACTACACCTAACCCCAGAAACCCTACACCTAGGAACCCCAACACTACACCTAACCCCAGGAACCCTACACCTAGGAACCCCAACACTACACCTAACCCCAGAAACCCTACACCTAGGAACCCCAACACTACACCTAACCCCAGAAACCCTACACCTAGGAACCCCAACACTACACCTAACCCCAGAAACCCTACACCTAGGAACCCCAACACTAAACCTAACCCCAGGAACCCTACACCTAGGAACCCCAACACTACACCTAACCCCAGGAACCCTACACCTAGGAACCCCAACACTAAACCTAACCCCAGGAACCCTACACCTAGGAACCCCAACACTACACCTAACCCCAGAAACCCTACACTTAGGAACCCCAACACTACACCTAACCCCAGAAACCCTACACCTAGGAACCCCAACACTACACCTAACCCCAGAAACCCTACACCTACCCAGAAACCCCTACCTAGGAACCCCAACACTAAACATAACCCCAGGAACCCTACACCTAGGAACCCCAACACTAAACCTAACCCCAGAAACCCTACACCTAGGAACCCCAACACTACACCTAACCCCAGAAACCCTACACTTAGGAACCCCAACACTACACCTAACCCCAGAAACCCTACACTTAGGAACCCCAACACTACACCTAACCCCAGAAACCCTACAACCTAGGAACCCCCCCAACACTAAACCTAACCCCCAGGAACCCTACACCTAGGAACCCCAACACTAAACCTAACCCCAGAAAACCCTACACCTAGGAACCCAACACTAAACCTAACCCCAGAAACCCTACACCTAGGAACCCCAACACTACACCTAACCCCAGGAACCCTACACCAGGAACCCCAACACTAAAACCTAACCCCAGGAACCCTACACCTAGGAACCCCAACACTACACCTAACCCCAGGAACCCTAAACCTAGGAACCCCAACACTAACCCCAGGAACCTACCTAACCCCAGGAACCCTAAACCCAGGAAACCCTAACCCAGGAACTACACCAAAACCCAACCCCAACACTAAACCTAAACCCAAGGAACCCTAAACCTAGGAACCCCAACACTACACCTAACCCCAGGAACCCTACACCTAGGAACCCCAACACTAAACCTAACCCCAGGAACCCTACACCTAGGAACACCCCAACACCCTAGGAACCCCACACTAACCCCAGGAACCCTAAACCTAGGAACCCCAACACTAAACATAACCCCAGAAACCCTACACCTAGGAACCCCAACACTACACCTAACCCCAGGAACCCTACACCAAGAACCCCAACACTAAACCTAACTCTAGGAACCCTAAACCTAGGAACCCCAACACTACACCTAACCCCAGGAACCCTACACCTAGGAACCCCAACTCTAAACCTAACTCTAGGAACCCTACACCTAGGAACCCCAACACTACACCTAACCCCAGGAACCCTACACCTAGGAACCCCAACACTAACCTAATGCCAGGAACCCTCTAAACCTAGGAACCCCAACACTACAAACCTAACCCCAAGGAACCCTAAAGGAGTTATCGGTGTCATTGTCTTTATAAGAAAGGTGTCAGCTAAAGGCATTTCCCAGCATGTGACAAATCAAAGACTGCCGATTGGTTGCTGACTTACGGAGGTTCGTAGTTACAGACCAGGAAATGCATGTTGGCATGTTCAAACCCCTCCATCTTCTCACAGAATTGTTCTCCACATCCGACCCGTTGTGTCTCAGCCCAGACCACCTGTGAACAAGTAGAGGAATTCTAATGGGTGACACCACCAAAGGGTTCAAGTAACGGGTGACACAGGAAACACATGCATGTTGAGGCCACAGAGCCGCAGATCTGCACACACACGTCATTCATACAGATGGCGGCTATATTGGATGACATCTCATCATTAACCCCTTCCTGCCCAGGCCAATTTCCAGCTTTCAGCGCTGTCACACTTTGAATGACAATTGCGCGGTCATGCAGCACTGTACCCAAATGAAATTTTTATCATTTTTTTTTGAGACAGATAAAGATTTCTTTTGGTGTTATTTAGTCACCTCGGGGTTTTTTATTTTTTGCTAAAAAAACAAAAACAACTGAAAATTTTGAAAAAAAAAGTTTTTTCTTAGTTTCTATTATATTTCTGTAAAATTTTGTAAATAAGTGATTTTCTCCTTCACTGATGTGCGCTAATGAGGCTGCAGTGATGGGCACTGATAGGCGGCACTGATGAGGAGGCACTGGTAGGTGGCACTGAAAGGCAGCACTCATATATGGCACTGATAGGCACTGATAGGCAGCACTGATGGGCACTGATAGGCAGCACTGACTGGCACTGATAGGTGGCACTGACTGGCATTGATAGGCGGCACTGATGAGGAGGCACTGGTAGGTGGCACTGAAAGGCAGCACTCTGGCATGATATGACTGGCACTGATAGGCAGCACTGACTGGCACTGATGGCACTGGTGGCACTGAGAGGCAGCTCAGATGGGCACTGATATGTAGCATTGATGTGGCACTGATGAGCACTGACAGGTGGCATTGATGGGGCTACACTGATCATCAGGGCACACTGATCAGTGTAGATGTCCCCTCTGAGGAATGCCAATTACCAGCTCTCCTCTCCTCTCCTCTGTCAGCGTGACGGTTCGTGAGTAGAGGACGGCCGATAACGAGCATTTCCTTATTTACATGCGATCGCTGTGATTGGACACAGCTGATCACATGACCGAGACAACGTCTTCGGCTCTTTCCATGGACTGGTGATCCGCTGTGTCTGAGGGACACAACGCACTACCGATCGCTGCTCTGCGCGCCCCCGGAGCCACGCACGCGCGGTTAGAGTGGGAGGATGTCATATGACTCCTCCCAGAACGAGAGAACCGCCTTGCGTCCATCATTACCTTATATGGTGGGCGGGAGGCAGTTAAGAAGTCTGAAGGAGATTGAACAAGGATTGTGTCACCTGATTGGCTGTTGGACATAACCCTGGAACAGGGGCCACACTAATCCCAGACACCCCTCATTCAATGTAATTGATGATTGGAAAAGCACTGGAAGATGGATGACCCTTGTGACAGACCCAACCGGGACGGGGTCTTTAGGAGGGAACTGCAGGCTAGCCCTCTTGCCTACTGACCATGGGCCCTGGCCTCTGAGGGGCTCCATTCTTTGGGAGATTTGTGCCTTTGGAGTAGTTTACTTCGGATTCAGGTCATGTCTCCCCGAAACACACAGACTGAGAACTGGAGGACCGGGATACAGATTTGGGGTCTCTGTACCCAAACCAACATTGACCGCTTCAACCCCCCCTCCTTCCTAGACTCAGAGCAGATGTTAATATAATCAGCTCAGAACAAGCCGATGCGGTGGTCTTGTGCTGTAATCGGTTTAAGGTGTGATGTGTTTACAGTTGTTTTGTTAATTGAGTCACCTATTGTCTGTTGGCTGGTCTTCCTGGAGGCTCCTATATGATGGGATTAGCCTGGTGTCAGCTTCAGCTCGTTACTTAATCGGTGTGGGGTGTTTATCCCAATGTGTAATATGAGTTTTTATTGTTCATGTGGGGACTTCGCCCATTTCTGAAGAGTATACAAACCTGTGTTTTCTGTTCAATAAAAGGTGTTTGCGCCTAAGCTAGTGCCATCTAGTTCTTGGGTACAATGCCCGCTATAATACCTTGGTCCTGTGTCCCAGTGGTGAGGAAGCAGTTCTCTTGGAAATCACCCAATCAGGGTGCCAGGTGGTCCGTCACAACCCACATCCAAGACTTCCTCTCACCAATGTGAAGCCACTGCAACCCCTGATTGGTGATGGGACATTCTGTGTATATCCAAATGAAATGTACTTCAACCAAACATGAACCTCAAAGTGCCTCTCTATCAGGAAAGACTGGACCCTCTGTCATGTTCCTATTGCTGTGTGTGTCCCCTGTTGAGGATATTCCCCCTCTATTTGTTAAAGGTTTTTTTTTTTTTGCTATGTACCTCTGGGGAGACTTTCCCTGACTTCTATCCCACAGAAACAACAGGAAGTGACCCCAGAACAAATATTGAGGGACGGGGACACAGAGAGAAGCTTTAACCCTTCTCTAGTCCATCCAAAACTAGACAGTAGCATGGCTTGCCTCCATATACACCCGAAGATAACACCATGCTAAGATCCCAGGAGTCTTGTCTAGGGGGTCAGCCCTGAAAGCCAAGGCTCTTCCCCACAATGCCAGGACCACCAAGAGGTTTATTGGCAGTGAATTAATAAGTTATTTGTAGCACCCTCCTTGGTAGGTACTGAGATTAGTGTTGGCTCACTGTATCCAGCGTGGCGGAGTTGATTATTCTGCTCTGTTCAGCGTTTCATTTGTTGCAGGTTTGATTGCTCGCTCTGCTTCCTTGGGAACTGTAGGTTGTTCTGGAACATAGGGGTGGAGCAAGGCAAATTGGCAGCATGAATATTTATACAGCAATGACCAATCCCTGGGAGGGTAGCACCGATGGCTGTTGGGAGTCTGTATAAATACTCTGACACAGAGCTTCCAGGTCCTTTTCCTTAGAAGATCACAGCCTACGAGGGGCTGTTTGCCCCCTTAGCCATCTCTGCCATGCACTTGCTGTTTGTGAGGCCTCAGCTGGACTGGCTGAGGGGCCTGGATGATGAACATTTCTGGAAGCTGACTGAGGGGCTGTCATCTGAGAGGATCTAGTCTGAAGTCCCTAGTAGAGGTGTCTGGAAGATTTTTTAGGTGGCAACCATCATCTGAGGACAGTGAGTACAGACCTGTGTGAGAGATCCCAGGAACTGAGGGCTGCTGCCACCCCTCTGATATTAGAGCCAGCTATGTGTAAAGAGGACCTCGGCTGGTGTCCTGAAGAGCTCAGTCCATCTAATTCCCTGTAAAGGGACTCTGCTCAAACTGTTCCAAAGAGGAAGACTCTGTGCTCCTACTACAAAGCCAAGTCCACCGACTACTTTTACAAGGACTTTGCTTATGGTTCTACAGAAGGAAGTCTAGTGTCTTCACTTTGTACAAAGTGCTTTTTAGAGTATCCCACCCCAACTCCTCAACCCTATCCAAGTTACCAAAAACAACACCAGAAAAACACCCCTGGACAGTTTATTGAGCCGAAGAGTGACTGACCATGTGCCTGGTGGCAAAGCAACTATTGGGAACCCTGGGCACCTTTCCAATCCTACGGGGTTATGCTACATATTTGTAATACTTCTGAATTTCTAAATTAGCTATGAGATCCATTCCTTCTACATTTTCATTATCATCTCTCAACCCATCTATAATATCATCCCACTTCTGTGTTTAATGTTATAGAACCAATGAGCATTGACCCAACCCAGAACCTGAATCGATAAATCAGGACCATACAATAGCCAAAATCATAGCCTGGTGGCCATAATATATTTCTTACACCAAAGCATAACATTTGTCTGAATAATGGATCCCAATGTCCCAATGTATGTCCGTAGTTGATGAAACCCCATCACCACTCATCTGGGGGCCAATTCTAACCCACCCAGAGCCTCGTGACCCCCCATTACCTGAGTGTAGTGGCCACACATTTGTCCCTCCTGGCAGGTGTCGGCAGTGAAGTTGTAGAAGTCTCGCTCATTATACCAATCAGCCAATCCCATGTCCACATCCATCCTGGAGCCTGACATCAGGAAGAGGTTTTCCCCCCGGAGTCCGCGTTGCTCATTATGTTCCCAGATGCACTTTGCTGCATAGGATGTGGCCAGCTCTTCCAGGGTGGAGTCCCAGCTCTGCAGAGAAAAGATTGGCAGGAATATTAATAATATAATGCTAACATTCAGCACACATCCTGAAGCAAGTCCATCCTGGTGGGGTGTGGGTGGGGTGAGGGTGGAAGGGGGGTTAGGGATGTGAAGTTCAGAACTTGGAAAATAATATACTATCTGGGACAAGACATTATTACCAATTCAATCCTCACAGCCAAAGCCTGAAATCCCAGGGCTGGAATATACAGATGTGATATTTACTATATCACCTGACACCCCCCTCTGGGGCGGAGTCCCAGCATCGGATTATACAGATGTGATATCATGTCTATTATATCACCTGACACCCCCTCTGGGGCGGAGTCCCAGCTTCAGATTATACAGATGTGATATCATGTCTATTGTATCACTTTACACCCCCTCTGGGGGTGGAGTCCCAGCATCGGATTATACAGATGTGATATCTTGTCTATTGTATCACCTGACACCCCCCTCTGGGGTGGAGTCCCCCAGCTACAGTTGTGATATCATGTCTATTATATCACCTGACACCCCCTCTGGGGCGGAGTCCCAGCATCGGATTATACAGATGTGATATCATGTCTATTGTATCACTTTACACCCCCTCTGGGGCGGAGTCCCAGCATCGGATTAATACAGATGTGATATCATGTCTATTGTATCACCTGACACCACCTCTGGGGCGGAGTCCCAGCTATGGTTTATGATGTCATATCTATTATATCACCTGACACCCCCTCTGGGGCGGGAGTCCCAGCATCGGATTATACAGATGTGATATCATGTCTATTGTATCACTTTACACCCCCTCTGGGGCGGAGTCCCAGCATCGGATAATACAGATGTGATATCATGTCTATTGTATCACCTGACACCCCCTCTGGGGCGGAGTCCCAGCATCGGATTATACAGATGTGATATCATGTTATTGTATCACCTGACACCCCCTCTGGGGCGGAGTCCCAGGATGGTATTATACCCTATTATATCACCTGACACCCCCTCTGGGGTGAAGTCCCAGCATTATTATACAGATGTGATATCTATTATATCCCGTGACACCCCCTCTGGGGCGGAGTCCCAGTATCGGATTATACAGATGATGTGATATGTCTATTGTATCACCTGACACCCCCTCTGGGGTGGAGTCCCAGCATCGTATTATACAGATGTGATATCTATTATATCCCCTGACACCCCCTCTGGGGCGGAGTCCCAGTATCAGATTATACGATGTGACATGTCTATTGTATCACCTGACACCCCCTCTGGGGCGGAGTCCCAGCATTGGAACTGCTACAACCAGCATATAACATTACCCATAAGTATATAGATGTACACCAGTATAGAAATAATACAAGCTTTATATAAGAAGAGATTAATAACACTCCATACATCCACCATAGATTATCAACAAAAGGGCCCGATAGGAGTGCTGGGAGAATTGTGCTCATATACCCGGGTATATATAGCCATCAATAGAGATACCTCCAGATGAATGGTTCAGCAATGTCCAGTGGAAGGGGCCCCTGAGGATTATGACGCAGCATCTGTCTGTGTCGGAGACATGAATACAAGATCAGCAGCAATAGGGTTAGGGTTAGATCCTCCAGCCATTGTCCAACCAGCCTGGAGTGCAGCTTGGCACATGCAGGAACTGTGGTGTGGCACTGGAGCCCAAGAGTCAGCCTACTTTGTCTTAGATCCTTGTAGTTTCCAATCTTCGATGCAACCGGACCTCCAACTACCTAATGCGTTGTCAGATGCCTAATCCGGATCTAACTTATGCTGGTTATTGAGCTCTAAACCAAAACTAGCTGTAGAATCCCAGACCAGAAGACGTTGGGTTAACTAGTGGAGGGAGAGGGAGAGAGAATGAACAACGTGAGCTGTTTACCTCCTAATAGACAGGAAGGTGACCAATACACATACAGGAGCCCAGACCGAGCTATCTGGCACCATACATGTGAGATCATGACGATAGGGAAGAGATACGTCCATCACTGGAATCCAGAAGTTACGGGCAGGTAAAGTGGTTCTAAATCAAACGCCTTACGGCTGTTTTTACTTCAATCCATTCTCTGCATTACGGTAACAAACCTTCCAAGCAGATGATCCCCCCCTCAGCCCCCCAGCCCCGCAGCCCCCCGTGATACGAGGTACCCAGGGAAGGAAAGCCAGACGAGTTTGGCAACCACAGTCTTTGTTTTTCTTTATTCTGGCGACACGAAAAAGAGCTTTCTTCAGCCAAAAGGAAGGAAACCAAACAGTCCGTAGTCCTGGTATCTGAACAAACCATCTGACCACCGCTCACCACCAACCTCTCAGCCCCACATTGGGTTGGGGTTCCCCCTGGTCTCCAGGTGCTGCAGGGGTTCAGCAACAAATTTCTCACCCTTGCAGTTTGTGAATATTTTACTCCTCACTGCTTGCTGCCTTACAAACCTCCCCTGCCTGGGACCTAACCCCTCCAGGACCAAAGTTCAGGTAGTCAGAATTTGGAGGTTCTTCCCACCCAAATCTCCTCGAACCTCCAACGTTCTGCATCTGACAGGAACTTACTACTTCTGAACTGAAAATCAGTCCAACCAGTCCAACCAGACTACCCTGGAACTCCTCACCCTGCATGGCTGAGAACCCCTGAGAACTCAACCAAGTCTTCAAACTGTCCCCCTTAAAAAGGGACCACAACGCAAATATTGAAGAAATATACTGGATATTACCAGTGTCCTGTACACCCCCTTATACTTACCTGAGCCCGCTCTCGATCCAACGTTGGGCAGAGACTCTCTCCGCTTTCTCTTTCCTCACAGGACAGATTGGATAATAGTGAATGAAATCCAGTGACAAGGTGGGGGGGTCTCGGGGCTGAGCCATGCTGTTCTTGTCCCCAGATGCAGGCAACTCGGGGGATTTAGCCCACATGACTTTCCCCATAGAAAGCATTTCCGGCACTGAAATCAGGCCCTGCTGAAGAATGGAATGATATCTGGCCTGTAGGAAGGAATGAACTGAACTGCATATTGCATATACACTTCTCAAAAAATTTAAAGAAACATTTTTGAATCAATCCGGCATCAAGTCAATGAAACTGCTGTGATATGGATCTGGTCAGGTGAGTCGCAGAGGGGCGTATTCATCAGTTTCAACTGCTTTGGTGGTAATGAAATTAGCAACGGGTGCACTGGATCGGCAACAATAAGACGATCCCCAAAACAGGAATGGTTTTACAGGTGGAGGCCACTGACATTTTTTTCCCTACTCATATTTTCTGACTGTTTTTCACTAGTTTTGCATTTGGCTCGGGTCAGTGTCACTACTGGTAGCATGAGGTCATACCTGGACCTTACAGAGGTTGTGCAGGCAGTCCAACTCCTCCAGGATGGCACATCAATACATGTCATTGCCAGAAGGTTTGCTGTGTCTCCCAGCACAGTCTCAAGAGCACGGAGGAGATCCAGGAGTCAAGAGCATGGAGGAGATTCCAGGAGACAGGCAGTTCCTCTAGGAGAGCTGGACAGGGCCGAAGAAGGTCCTTAACTCATCAGCAGGACCGGTATCTGCTCCTCTGTACAAGGAGGAACAGGATGAGCCCTGCCAGAGCCCTACATAATGACCTCCAGCAGGCCACTGATGGGAATGTCTCTGACCAAACATTCAGAAACAGACTTCATGAGGGTGGCCTGAGGGCCCGACATCCTCTAGTGGGCCCTGCGCTCACTGCACGGCACCATAGAACTGGATTGGCATTTGCCATTATACACCAGAATTGGCAGGTCCACCACTGGGCCCTGTGCTTTTCCCAGATGAAAGCAGGTTCACACAGGTGACAGACGTGAAAGGATCTGGAGAAGCCGTGGAGAAGGTTCTGCTGTCTGTAACATGGTTCAGCAGGACCGTTTTGGTGGTAGGTCAGTGATGGTCTGGAGGGGAATATCCATGGAGAGACGCACAGACATCTACAGGCTAGACAATGGCACCCTGACTGCCATTAGGTATGGGGATGAAATCCTTGGACCCATTGTCAGATCCTAAGCTGGTGCAGTGGGTCCTGGGTTCCTCCTGGTGCAGTGGGTCCTGGGTTCCTCCTGGTGGAGTGGGTCCTGGGTTCCCCCTAGTGGAGTGGGTCCTGGGTTCCTCCTGGTGGAGTGGGTCCTGGGTTCCTCCTGGTGCACGACAATGCCCGGCCTCATGTGGCGAGAGTATGCAGGCAGTTCCTGGAAGATGAAGGAATTGATACCATTGAATGGCCCCCACACTCTCCTAATCTAAATCCAATAGAACACCTCTGGGATGTCATGTTTTGGTCCATCCAATGCCGTCAGGTTGCACCTCAGACTTTCCAGGAGCTAAGTGATGCCCTGGTCCAGATCTGGGAGGAAATCCCCCAGGACACCATCCGTGGTCTCATTAGGAGCCTCCCCCGACATTGTCAGGCATGCATATAAGCATGTGGGGGCCACACAGACTACTGAGGAGCATTCTGAGTTGCTGCAATGACATTCAGCCAAATGGACTCTCCTGCTGCATCATTTCTTCACTTTGAAATGTCTTTGAATTCAGTGCTCTGTAGGTCGATCATTTTCATTTCCATCAAATGATGGGGCGTCCTTACGTTCCTAACACATCACCCCGTCCATGTGAGTATAGAGATCCAGCAGAAGATTCCTCCCCATTGAGATCTAATGGGTTTTCAAAGTTTCCCTTTCATTTTTTGTGAACAGTGTATACGAATTTCCTAGTATGCTGGGTACACTAACCTACCTAGCAATACATGCCCCTAGAGCGGATACACTGATCCAAAGCGGACTGACACACGCATTGCACATCATTTCTAAGACTTTTGTTTATCATTTTTAGAATATAGATCTTGTTTTATTCTCTTTTCTCACCCTCTACTTGCCATTGCAAAGATACGTCCTGGTATCCCAGAGCATGCACTCATCTGGTTATTGGGAAAGCGTCCTTTCAGCATCAGGATGGTGTTTCAGGTGGAATTCAGG